ACAGGCAATGTTTTTCTCCCTTTCCCATATGGCTTCCCTTCCTGGAATTCAGCCTTCAACTCTCCCTGTCCACCTACCTCTTAGCCTGCTGTATTGCCGGCCAGTCCTTCCTCATAGCGTCCTCACCTGGCTAGGTAGGAATTGCTTCTGTTTTACTCCAAAAAATCTTTTCCTATTTATCCCATCACACATTTTGGTCTAGTTCTGGGCAGACCCTCACCTATCTCCTTTCTTTGGGTTTGTCATGATCTGGGCTGTGCCAACAGAGGCATACTAGGCCCAGGGAGCCTGACTAGCAGTAAGGGAGGCTGGGCCTACAAACCCCAGAAGGCCTTGGGAAGTTTTGGCACCAGTTTTGACCAACAGGGAAGAAGAGGGCTGGGGAATACAGGAACTGGTACAAGAGGGAAAGCTGTTCTTCTTCCCAGGGAACAGAGCCAGAAGGGACTGAGGCTGCTGTGGAGAAGAAACCCTCATCCTGAGGGAAGGGTGAGTAGTCTGAGGCCACTTGAGATAGTGAGCTAAGGACAGTATATATTTAGGGCATTTGATTTATTTTATTTTCACCCACTGTTATTATTCTGCACCTTGTTTGTTTGACCTCCTATAAAATAAACTATTTTCATTGTTCACTCTGCCCGGTCCTCACGCCTATTATCTGGCCAAAAGGGAGGTCTAAAGGCCTGGAAGAGTGCTCTGGGCCTTCTCAGAGGAGCCTGGAACCAGAGTGGTGGCAGCATCAGGTGACACCCCACCTGAGCAGTGACAGGGTTTGTTTGTATTTCTCAACTAGCCATGTGGGAGGCACACCACTGGGACTAAAAGTAACTGGGTATTTAGCTTAAAATAATACAGCTAAACACTAGGATCACTCAGAGTGAAGGGCTATTATTGGACTGCTAGATATAAACTGCTGTTGTACTCTCGCCACTAGATAGTTCAGTCTCACTATCTTGTGCTACTGTCTTGCGGCCCCTTTTTCTATTCTGTATCTTGATTAGGTCAATAAAGTTACTTTCTGGTTAAGTACTTGTCCCCCCCTTCCATCTTTCCCTCTTTGGGATATTAATGGGAACTGTGTAGAATAGCCTAAAAAAGGATCCCTTCCTTTCCTGTTTTCGTATTCTAGTTGGGGATGCTCTTTATGAGACAGGGACCAATTTAGGTAATGAAAAGTACAGAAACCACAGCAAGAATCCATTTCCCATTTGACCAACATGACTCAGTTAATTTTCTGGTATTAATCACTCATGTCCAAATCTGAGAACAAAGAACTCGACCGTAATACATTAACCGATCCTCTTCTGTCCCAAGTAATTATGTCATTTTTCTTTAAAGGGCATAATAATACTTAACAAGGCTGGGGTAGGAAAAAAGAGCAAGAGAGAAACTGGAGTTTTAGAGGTGGGATACATAATGCCGGAGCAAACTCAATGAATAACAATCCTTTTTAGAAATCAAATGGTCATGAAATCTACCAGTCTTCGTTTCTGAAAGATGGGAAAGAAAGATATTGGTAAATGGCCACACAAAGCTCCACCCCAAAAAACAAAGAATCAGAGTGTAGAGCCTTATTACGCTAATTTTCTTATGAACGATGGTAGAGAAAGTTCACTGTTCATTCAAGAGTAGAATGTAAACATTTTACTGAGGAAAGTCTACAAAGTAACAGCAACTACCAGACTTAGTTCTGGACTGAAGACACTGCACAACACCTTTTAAATTTTTGAAGAAGAGGAAGAAGAAGAAGAAGAGATTGGATTTATACCCGCCCTTCACTACCCAAAGGAGTCTCAGAGCGGCTTACAAACTCCTTTCCCTTCCCCTCCCCACAACAGACACCCTGTGAGGTAGGTGGGGCTGAGAGAGCTCTTGACAGAAACTGCTCTTTTTTCAAGAACAGCTCTTATCAGAACTATGGCTTGCCCAAGGTCATCCATCAGGTGAGAGTGGAGGAGTGGGGAATCAAACCCGGTTCTCCCAGGTTAGAGTCCGCGCACTTAACCACTACACCAAACTGGCTCCCCTTCATAACATCATGGAGCTAAAGGAAGCAAACACAGGGTTCCCAGGAGGTTTCTTAACCAAGCACTGACTAGACCCAGAAATGCTGAGGTTCAGCAAGGATGCCGATTCATTTTCAGGCTGTACTGGGCCAATATTTGGCAATGTATCCCTGGGCCATATAATAATTTTGCATATATCCCCACAATTCCATGAAGCATTTCAATATTGTTAAATAGCATAAAAGAAAAAGCTGCCGTTAAATGGCCAGGGTATTTCTAGCACACTTATAGCCTGATAATATGTTTAGAAGGTCAAGGAAATCTTGTATTTCAACAAAGTAGGAAAATATATACTCTCCCCCCAACACACACCCTCTGAGAAATCAGGAGGAATTTGAGAGTGGTGAGATGAATGTGCATAAAGTTCAAACATGTTTACCCACATCTTAAAAATAAAAAGAGAAACAAAGAAACTCATCTCTGCAGGATGACATATGCAAGGTTTAACTGCCCAGACACATCCTGCTCACTTTGACTTGCAAGAAAAACATAACACTGAACATCTCCAGAAGCTTGGTGAAAATTCAAAGCCTGTCAATGTTTTGCAGGTTCTCCGAGTCAAGGTCATCTAAGACATACAAACCTTTTGTCCTCAAGACTCTTGGATGGCAGGGACTGCAGTCAAGAATGAAAATTGGAAACAAAAACATTGTTTTCCCCCCTTCCATCTTAGAACTGACAATATAAACGTGGCACTTTTCCAGGCATCGCCTCTGCCGGGAGTGAGCAATTGGCTTCAAAAAGCAATTTTAAAAAATCCTAGACACCCAGACTAGTGTGGCTGTTCTGACCAGGGGGACTCTGGACCAAGTTGATGCTGGCAGCCAAGGCATGGAGAGCACTGTCAGACAGGCCATACTGTGCTGTCATGGTTATGTGCATATGCTATCTGCCCTTATAAGAACAAACCTGCAAAGGATACATAAGTAGCTAGAAAATGGAAAGCCACGCAGCTGGATGGTTGTAAGATCCTGATGGAGCCCCAGAACTGCTCCTCTGTCCTTACAGAAATGCAAACGACCTAAGAGCCTGCTTTTCATTCAGTGCTACACGCACACACACAAACACACGTATTCTGTATCCTCAACATAAGCTTGTGCATCATATCGCACGCAAACCCTTAGGCATGTGCGTTTATCTCAATGTATCACTGTGGTCCTAACTAGAAACCACAACACAGTCAGCAATGTGAAGAGAACTGTGTGATAGTCTCTGAACAGAAGCAACAATCAATTGCCTTTCACTGGGTGTTCTTGCCACTCTTTGTAGAAGCCTTTTTTTTTTTTTAAAGATGGGAGCTGAGAGTACAAATAATTCCTGCCTCCCAGGACCACTTCCAACAATATAAAACTAACTCTGTACAAGACAAAAACCTCCATTGTCTTTGCCTGGGCTTACCGTGACTTTGTTGAATTTGAGAAGGAGAGGAAGAGGAAGAGGAAGAGGAAGAAGAGGAAGAAGAGGAAGAAGAGGAAGAGGAAGAAGAAGAAGAAGAAGAAGAAGAAGAAGAAGAAGAAGAAGAAGAAGAAGAAGAAGAAGAAGAAGAAGAAGAAGAAGAAGAAGAAGAAGAAGAAGGATTTATATCCCGTCCTTCACTTGGGGTCTCAGAGCAGCTTACAATCTCCTTCCCTTCCCCTCCTCACAACAGACACGCTGTGAGGTAGATGGGGCTGAGAGAGCTCTGACAGAATCTGCTCTTGAGAGAACAGGCCTGAGAGAACTGTGACTGACCCAAGGTCACCCAGCTGTCTGCATGTGGAGGAGTGGTTCTCCAGATTAGAGCCTGCCACTCTAAATCACTGCACCTATATTGGTGGTTCTCAATAAATACAACCACACACACTTCAGGCACTGTTTTTTAAAATTTTCTTGGTATCTCACGATGCATTGTACTGAATATGGACAGTAAAGCCAAGAGTGGAATGCAAGTGTTCAGATGTGTGTAGAATTTAGCTCAATGAGTAACATGAGTATTCTCCGTTGAGTAAACCTCTAAGCATTCAAAAATCAGGCCTTGTTCATACATTTTGAGTTCATGACACACAAAGAGCGCACTGGTATACCACAAGGGGGACCAGAGTATTATAGTAGTTACAGTGGCAAACTCTGACTGAAGAGACCCAGGTTCAAATTCCCTTCCTCCCATGGAAGCTTGCTGCTGAACTTGGGACGGTCACGTTCCCAGCCTAACCTACTTCAAAGGTTTTTGTTGCGAGAATAAAATGGAGGAGGAAAGGAGAATGATATTGTAAGCCACTTTGGGTCTCCAATGGGGACAAAAGGGCACTATATAATAAATAAACAAAGGTAATCCAGAAATAAATTTCTTCCAAATAAATCCACAGCAAATCTTGCCACTTCCCACACCCTGACTGCTATTCTGGTTCCTCCTTATTTATTTACACCCAATATGGTATATGTCACGGCTGAGGCTGTTTCTGTTAAGCCACATCAGTTTCATGGAATATGGGGGGGGGGGGAAGCATCAAATACAAGTTAATTCAACTCTGTATGGGGTGGCGCACTCATTAAAGACCGCCAGACCTCGACTCTAATTAACAAAGAGATTGTAATGATTTTGAGACCATCAGAACCAAATATTTTTCGTCAGAACCAGGCGCAAAATGTAAAAAAGGACAATAAAATTAATTCAGATATGGCACTAACAAGAAACAGGAAAAATAAAACAAGTATCATAAAATATTCCTCGTTTAACATGGGATTAATCTTCACGTACGATGAGTATGTATGGTAAACCACTGCCTTCAAATTGCTCCCTTCGTTTTCATAGGCTGTTTGTGCACGTCAATGTCTTCTGGCTCTCTTAGAACGATGAAGAAAGGTATTCTAAAATGAATCAGACTACAATATGTTTCCCCGGTGCTTTTTTTTTTGAGCTGGCACGGAATATATCAGAGCAATAAATTTGCTTACCCTTCTGTTCTGTACATTGAACACCTCTCCAGAGGAATTTTTAGCACTCCATTATTCAAACCCACAAACAGCGATCTGTCACTGTGCAGAATTTGGAGGCTCTGGATTGGCTCCTTTTGGCTGGCGGGAAGAATCTGCATTTCCTCTAAATAACAGCTCCGCAGGCTCTTATTAGTGGTGGAAAGCGCCTTCAAAATGGTGCCATGCTCTAGCGAGAGAAGAGGCAAGTAAATCTCCAAGATGGTGGTTCAGTTTATCATCCAGCAGAGAGAATGAAAATTAACTACATCCTATATACCACCACCCCCTCTTTTATCTACACACTTACAAAAATATATGCAAAAAAAGGATAGCAAATCTTCAGGCGTAAGCCTGACTTCTTTGCAAAATCCAACTGTTCAGATCATACTGTAAATACAGAATGCAACAGGACAAGGTGTGAGAAGTGAATCTGCTAACAAGTAGCATGTCCTTTTTGCGTGTCTTGGATGATGTGGACTGTGGCTATTTAATAAGTAACTCTTAGCCACAACTACAATTCTCAGAGAGCTTTTGAACAAGGACGTGTCTGGTTAAGATTACTGCCTGAATTAATGAAATAAGTAACATGTCTGATTAGGGTTGCCAAGTCGGGTGTTGCGCTGCAGCGGGGGACTCCCGGCTGGCATCTGGAGCGTGCGCGCACTGCAAGCACATGGCCCGGAAGTGACGTGATGATGCCGGGCACGCTGGGGGCAGTGCCACGACCATCCAACGGAAAACCATAGAGCTTTCCCTCGGATGACCGTGGCCCCGCCCCCAGCATGCCCAGCGTGGTCGCGTCACTTCCGGGTGACGTGCACATTGGGGTGGGGCTCCCCCCGGGGCCCGATCTGCTGGCAGCGGGGAACGGGCCTCTGGGCGGGGGGACTTGGCAAGCCTATGTCTGATGTGAAATCTGTTCACTTGGGAGTTGCTGCACTGTAGTTCTGTCATTAATCTCTGCAATTTGGGACTCCTGCAGTTGTTTCAAAAATTAATTCTGATTTTGGTATCTGTGATTTTATGTTACTGGAAATATTAACAGAACTAATCATATTCAAAGTGGTAAAAGGTAGATGAATTAAGGCTCAATTTGGTCGATGATAACTTCTGAGTAAGTAGGCCACTCGACATTCATGGGATCAATTATACTAACACTTAGGAAGGTCTTATGTATCTTATTGTAAAATCAACTCGTTCTCAAGATATAACGAAATTATTATTTCAAAAAACTGCAGGGGTTCAGACATTAATGAAATGTTTAGCTTCTATCATGTATGTAAAAGCTACAATTTGTAATACTTAAGAGAGATTGCCCGGGAGACGCCTGCAATATCTCAGGCAATCCCATCAGCCAATCCCATTTCCTGTGGGAAGGAATGCTACATGGAGCCTGAGGGAAATCACAATGGGGAATTTCAGACAGGCGATATCTCCCAGTAGGGAACAGGTTCTCAAACGGGTTCCGGTCTGTCATTTCAAACAGAACCCGTTTGAGAATCGGTTCCCTACCGGAATGTATTTGCCATTTCATACACAAACGCTTCTGTCCCGTTTAGGAACCGGGACTGAAGTGTTTTACCTGTCAACCGCTTCCGAGTAGTCTTCAGTTCCCTCTCCTGGTTCTGATACACTTTTTTCCTGCCGTTTTTCACCCGCGCAGGCTTTTTAAAAAATTATTATTAAACGTTCGTTTTATAGTGTTATATTGCTATACCAGAACTCCAAACTCCAATGGGATCGCTACTGCGATCCTTTGGAGTTCCGGTATAGCGTTATATCGCTGTAACGCTATAAATCGAATGTTCAAAAAAAAAATCGATCACCCGCACGGGAAGAAAGTGGTGGGAAAACAAAGCGGTGCAAGTCTGAAATGCCAAACCGCTTCTGATCCAGCTCATTTCCGGTAGGGGCAAGCCATGTGTGAAATGGCAGCCCTGTACCGGTTCACTTCAAAACGGATGATTACCGGCTTGAAACCGGATGAAACTGGGTAATGTGAAATTCCATATTGTGTCTCCTGCAGTGCTCCTCCCAGTGGGTAATGAACATGGGACAATGGGAAGGATTTTCAATGGGAAGGGCTTCTGAGGCAGTGGGTCATGGTCCTGTTTCCTCAACTTCTGCCTATTAGTTCTCCCTTCAGGAGATGTGGCAACTGTCGGTAATGGGTTCTTTTCAGGTTGCGGACTTTGGCAGATGCCCAACCATGCCATGAGACCTTGTGACTACACAGAATTACCACAAAGACTTGTGAGCTGAGAAAACACGGAAGCAATGCTGAAGTTTCAATGAGTGACTTGAAGCTAATGTGGGGTATGAGCAATCCCAAAAGGACAATTTTAGATAAACAAGTAACATAGAAAATGCATCTATATCTGGTAAGGCTTTAATGTCTGCCTTCGCCTGAAACACTGAGTAACTCATATCTCAGTGTTAAAATCTGTTTAGCTCTCTTGATGACAGTCTATATGTGTTTACGAATACTGTTGCAAACAGATGCTTACCCTGGCAGGAAATATTCCCACCTCACCAATAAGGTGCAGTGAAAGAAGCTAAATGACCTACCGGAAGGTTAGATAGCCACCCAGTCATCATTTACCTGCCCATCCCTACCATTCTTCCTTAAACTGAATTCTCACAGGAAGAATTGGTCCTTCACAGTAGTTGCCTCTTGCATGTGTTCCCATCTATATATCTAATAGCCAAGGTGCCCCCAGCGTGCGGATATCTAAATCCGCACATCGGGGGCACCTAGGGGGCAAAGAGATTTTCCTGCACATTTGGGGCAATCCCCAGATGTGCAGAAAAATCTGAAATCTATAAAAAAACTATGGGGGGATACTTAGATCCCCCCAAAAGTAAAATAGTGTTCCCTGCGCATGCACAGAGAACGCTCTGAGAACTGCCTTGCTGCCGCAGCAGCCGCCACTGGGGGGGGGCGCGGGAGAAGGTTTGGTGGGCCGGCCGCTCAGGCCTTGCCACTGCTGCCACCGTGGGGGGGGGGAGGGAGAAAGCTTGGCAGGCCCGGCGGGAGCCGCACAGGCCTCACCGTTGGTGACGGGGGGGGAGAAGGCTTACCTGAGGCTGCTTTCTCCTCCTTTGCATGGAGCTCCCCCCCCCACAAGTATTGCGGGTCCCCCTTCTTGTAAGAATTCTAATTTGGGTGGTATGTCTATCAATCTTGGGCTACCGATGCCTATTTGACGCCTATCCCTAACCTCTTCAGAAATGGCACTCGTTTGTTGAGAAATTGGATAAATGAAAAAAGGAAGAGCCTAGAAATGTAAAAAACCCAAAAGCTATCCTGAAGCACAGAAGTAATGAACAAAGAACTAGCTACCTGACAGTTGTTAATTCAGACTTGTAATATGTACTATGGATCCAATCACCTGGGTATGGTCTGCAAGAAAGCCACTTAACACTGTTTTATCTGCAAATTTTACTCCCTTCTGTTTATGCGGCAAAAACCCCCAACACAATCAAGTGAGTTAGCGGAAAGGATATTACCTCAGCCAAAGTGCCTTACAGTGCAATCCTAAACCAAGTTGCCGCCATCTAGATTCATTGAAGTCAATGGGTTTAACTCTGCTAAGGATAGCATAGTCAAGAGTACAAGGACTTTGTTGTGATTAGGTTACATGCATTAAAACAAAAAGTCTCTTTTCCTTCTTTACACGATTTCAACAGTAGCCTACCCTTTCAAAATGATCATTCACTTTCCCCCTGTTGTTAGTAACGGATAAGCTCTGACTCTGTGAAACGCTTAGCGAGTACCTCAAGGACTGTTTAATAAACTCACAAATGAGATGACGGAAGGATCCCGGGTGTAAAAGGCACGCACCTGTCCCAATGTACATCACATGGTAAAGGACATCCTTGCCCTGAACAATGTCAACCACGAGCTTAGAAAAACGGATGTTGTCCTGAGTGACATATGGATCCACAGAGACAGGCTGCACCACATCATTCATCAGGAACAAGCGCTGGGCATCCTGGAGGACCCTTTCTGTCAAGTTTTCATTGGGGCCGTCATCATTCATTGTTCCACACTAAAGATGGAAGACACAACATCAAAAATGGCTTTTGTTTTATATACTGAAACCCTCTTGGATTAAAATCTCAGCTGTTAGTGAGTAATTAGTAAGAGCATGTCTGGAATACTAGTTGATGCGCTGGGCTAGGATTGGGGAAGCCTGGGCTCAAATTCCATACTTAGCCATAGCTCACTGGATAACTTTGGGCTAGTCTCTCTGTCTCTCTGTCTCTGTCTCTGTCTCTGTCTCTCTCTCTCTCTCTGTCTCTCTCTCTCTCTCTCTCTCTCTCTCTCTCTCTCTCTCTCTCTCTCTGGTTAACTTCACAGGTTGGGACAATGAAATGCAGGAGGGGACAACCGTTTACGCCGCCCCTGAAATATTCCCAGGTGGGACAGAGCCAGTTTGGTGTAGTGGTGTAGTTTGGTGTAGTGGTTAAGTGCGCGGACTAATCTGGGAGAACCGGGTTTGATTCCCTACTCCTCCACTTGCACCTGCTGATGTGACCTTGGGCAAGCCGTAGTTCTGACAAGAGCTGTTCTTGAAAAAAGAGCAGTTTCTGCCAGAGCTCCCTCAGACCCCCCTGCCTATCTCACAGGGTGTCTGTTGTGGGGAGGGGAAGGGAAAGGAGTTTGTAAGCCGCTCTGAGACTCCTCTGGGTAGTGAAGGGCGGGGTATAAATCCAATCTCTTCTCCTTCTTCTTCTTATAGAACGAGAGAGAGAGAGAGAGAGAGAGTATCTCTGAATACATATGAGACATTACTTCCTGTGCTAAAAAGGCATTATAGTGCACTAATTTGTCATTTCCCTTATGTGACCTTTTCCTTTATGTAGGTATTAATTTTGGTAGTCTGGATTTGCATTTTGCATAGTATTACATTTGAGCCAATTAATTTGTCTTTGGCCAGTGGACTCTACCCCTTAATGTACCTATTCACCTAATATTTCGAAATAAGATTTAGAATTAGTAGATTCATAGATTAGATGGCAGGTTAACAATGAAATTTAATGCATGTGTATGTGTGGGAATTATTTTGTGTTCTGCTGTAGCAGATGTAGTTTTTAGGGGAGAGAACACTTGTGTGCTAGCAGCATGAAATGTGTGGGCATGGTACAGGAGCCTGCCCCTTCTGCTGAGGGTCTAACATTTTACATTTTCCCTATTTCCATACTCAGGTTGAGTCAACATACATGTTCTGTGAGTTTTGTGCCTCTCAGGCCCTGGTCACATGGAGGATTTGCCGCACTAAAGGCACGAATGTCAGGCGGATTTTCGGGGCGCGATCACACCGCAACATCTGGGAAGCGTAGCGCATCCGTGGCAAACCCGTGGTATCCCGCCGAAGATGTGCAGTAAAAAAGTACCGCAAAAAGTGCACTAGTATCCGGAAAATGCAGGGCAGGGGTGGGCGTCTGGTCACGGGAGTACTAGTATCCCATGGCATCCGGCGCCCGTCCAGGTCCTGTCGTAAACCGGATGTTTTTCGTAAGCACATGCGCACAAACACGTAACTGAAAGCAGTGCTGGTCCACGGAACTACGCATGTGCACAAACGCAAAACGCTTGCTGCGCCGCTTCTTTGCCATGCTCCAGCATTGCCGTGTGATCGCCAGCGAACAGCCTAAGCGCGGAGACTCGGGGGACCGTCTGATTGGGCTACCGCACTTTATTTTGCTCCGGGGCGAACAGCCACGCCTCCCCCCCCCCGCGTTATTTGGCCCGTGTGACCAGGGCCTCAGTTGGTCAGGGGCATGATTTGGATCAGGACCCACAGCATGCCAGGAGAGGGGGCTGCTATTCATCCTTTTGGGGAAACTTAATGTGTACTAGAGAAAGAAGGAAGAGGACAATCAGTCCTTTATTACAAAGCCCCTACTCAAAATCTGCCACTCTACCACCTTGTTGCTGTGAACTTTATCTTCTCAGCTCCGGGGGCTGGCCAAAGTACTAGAAAAGGATCAGGAAGCTGAGGGGAACTTTTAAAAAAGTGATCTGCCTTGCTTTTAGTGGGAAATGGCTATTTCCAACTGACTTTTGTGTAATTCTGAGTAGTCAGATATTGTGAACTCTTAAAAAAAAGAAGAAGAAGAAGAATCATGATTCCCAATCCATATTTTGGTATTGTTACCTATCCCTAGTATCCACCTACAGCAACCAACAATTACCATACAATTACTTCTGTTAATTCTGTATCCCTTTCCAAGAAGGAAAAGTTTCTGGTATTATTCCTTCGTCAAAACAACATACTGAGAATCCCCCCCCCCCATAGTTTCTTCTCAGATATTAAATTACCTTTGTCATCACTGAAAGCCCTTCATTGACCTCCGGTTGTTTTGTACTTGAAAAATGTTGTAATCTGTTTTTGCAATCTTCCTGTCACTCTCCACATATGTTCCCTTTTCTTTTAAAGAACTTTCATCTTGGTTTTGTAATCTTTCCACACCACCTCTGCAGTAAAGACTTTGCACTGTATGTAGGTCTTTTTGAAACCTGGGTGTTTTTCTTTTGTTCTTCTTTTCCCTCCAGGAATCAATCTTGGCTATTCCAAATATCCCTGTCTGCTACATGAGCTGAGAATACTCAAAATAAAAAGCCCCCAGACGCTTTCACAAAAGAGTCTGGAGGGTAGCTAATGTGTAGACACGGATTCTGGAGAATTTTACTGAATAGCATACGTCTGTTTTCCTGAGGATCAGGAAAAATTCATCCCAATTGGTTCATAATCATGCTGCGCCATAAACATTCCTTTAGAGGTAAACAAGAGTATTTACTCTAGAGAAAACAGCAATTCACTCCCATTAGCCTTTTGAGCATAAAGAAATGAATTATAAACTTTAAAATAGAAGGTTCTTTTTATCATATGTGGTGGACTTGTGATAAAGCAAGAAATTTTTGGACGGAGGTCCATAATGAGATGGAGAAAATTACGAAATGTAAATTTAAGAAGGAGCCGGAATTGCTACTTTTGGGACTTAAAATGGAAGAAGTAGATATTGCAAAACGGACTCCAATGTGGTACATGATCACAACAGCCAGAATGACTTATGCTCTATGCTGGAAACAAGAAAAAACACCAGGGATCTGGGAGTGGATAAAAAAGTTGCTTTTTATGGTTGAAATGGACAAAATGACAAGAAAGTTCAAGAATCAGGAAGCGGAAGATTTTTTTGCAGACTGGATAGATCTTAAAGAATATCTGGAGAAATATTGGAATGTGAAGAATAATCTATTTTGCTTTGATAACTATTAGAGATAGAAGGATATTTAGAGTTAGTTCAAATGTGTAAGAATAATAGCTTAAAGAAATGTTACCTTATAAGTTTAATTATTGATGTGGGAAGAGAGAAGAAAATAGAAGATTTGGAAGGGAGGTGGGAGCACTGCGGGAAGCCGGAAGGGGGGAGAGATGGGGAGAAAAGGATATAAGATGGATGCTAAAATGTTATATTGGTTGACTTGATGTTATATCCAAATAAAAAAAATGTTTAAAAAAAGAAAAGAAATGAATTATAAACTTAATAGGATGCTGGCAAATGCTCCTCCCTAGATCTTATAAGTTACCCCTGGATCAGTTTTTCTGGGTAGAAATATATTACAATTTACTCACATCTGAGATGAACTGAGATGCTACAGCTGTTGTGTTCCTACAAATCAAGCCAGATGGTACAAAGAATAGGGATGAACACATACATTTTCTCTGCTAAAACAGAGGACTAAGCAGTAGAAAGAAGGCTGTTCCTACGCTGAGGACCATCAAAGATTTATTGTATGAATTTGCTCGTTTCCCCCCTTCCCATTCTGTCCCCTTTCTCTTTTGGTTCATGTATATCATATTGTGTTATTCTGAATTTGTAAACCACCTTAAATGGCAGAAAGGCAGTATATAAACATATCCAATAATTAATAAATAATTAATTGGGCAGGAAGGCAACAGAAGAAGTTGCAGAGCCCACATCTCTAGTTCCCGTCAATTCTTAGTTTAGTGGAACAGCTGTTGCTTCCTTGTAGCTGCTCCCAACACCACTCTGGTAAATGGCAGAACCACATGCCAGGGATGCCTGCTGTGGTTCCTGCCAAAACCCTGGAACCCTGGAAAGGGTTGGTGCTAATACAGGATTAATTTATATAATAATCCCCTATGTTCAAAAGCAAAATGGGTGAGTGACAGGGAGAGGCTTTTCTTGTTGCGGTGTTAAGACTTGAACTCCCTCTGCACAGAGGTTTCTTCCAGCATCGTATCTGCTACATTTTTGTTTTTCAAAGGCTTTTACTAATTTGTTTCTCCCCACTGGCTCTTGCTGTTTTATTACTCATGGTTTGAACTTGGTGTGGAGGCTTTTATGCTTTTTAATCTGTGTTTTGCTGTTGCTTTTAATTGTTGCTCCCGTCAACTTTTAAACAACAATTTTACTGCTTTTGCTTTGTTGTTTTAATAAACAGAGCAAGCTGTTTATTAAAGCTGGAAATGTTTTATTGAGAATGTAGGGTAGAAACATTTTAAGTAAATAACATCTCCTATCCCCGTGTGTTGCCCCTAGTACATACATTACCAGAAGAAAATTGGAAACATCCATTTGACTAAGTTAACACAGTACTGGGGCCTCAGAAACAACCATAAAATAGTCACAGGATGGGGAAAGGAAGAAAGGGGTGTGTGCAATGAGAGGTGGACAAACCAAACTTTTATTCAGCAAGGAAGCTACCCTGTAAGGTTAAATTAAGCTGAGAGATAGCAATGAGGTCCGCAAGCCACCCAGTGTGCTTCTTAAGTGAGTGGGGATTGGAGCCTGGATTCCCTAAATCTAACAATGCCACCATGGTACCAGATTGGCTATCTTCAACAGTTCCATCAAACAGGAAACAAAGTGGCATGGGATCGATCCAAGCTATTGCATTAATAAAATACCTGAAAATTGGAGATGGGGTTGATAGTTGGCAGCCATGCAGATCTTGGATTTTCTTGGTATCGGAAAGGCCCATTAAAAGCCTGTGTAATGGCACTGAGATTGAAGGCACATACTGCTGAAGCAGCAATACTGTTTCTGGAAGCAAGGAGAAAGAGAAAGAAAGGAAATCAATTTAATCTTTAGAACATTGACACTTTCATCATAACACATCAAAACTCACTAAAATAAATTGAATGTAAATTACAGGGAATAAGTGCACATGGCTACAGGCCTCAGAGAGGACCGGGGGGGGGGGGGGGGGGGGGGGGGGGAGAATCCACATGGATTAGATGACTGTTAGGAGATGCTGAAAATCCATTCTTGAATAATGTACATGATTTAAGACTCAGGGAAGCACTCTTTGACATGAAAAGTCACACACAGTTTAGCTCACATGGAACATTAACACTGATATCCCATCAATCCTGATTGATTAGAAGTGGCCTAGTTTTTCAAACTCCAGTCTATTTCTCAAGGTGAGATTTAATTTTAAGCTCCGCAGGCACCATTGCAAGATACTAAGAATACGTCTGAAAAACGTAGCTTTGATAGAGGTAGTTGTACTTGTTTCTAACCAAATGGGCTGGTATGAGAACCCTTAAAACCTCGAACTATTCCCGAATGCGTATCCATGCTAAAGTTAGTAAGGCCCCAACATACCGTTAAAGGCACAGAGTACCAGAAGAACAGAATTGTAGGCTCATCTTAGACATCAGTACTTTCTGTGCTTAACTATGGGTTCAGAACTGAAAGCCTGGGAAAACAGGGTTGCACTTACTTGTAACTGTTGTTCATCGAGCGGTCTTCTGTGCAGGCCCACATGGGGACTGCGCCTTTGGAGGCCTGCCTCGGAAAGGAACTAGCAAGCTTTTTAAAGAAGTTTCCAGAGCCCATGAGTGCTCCGCCTCCCTTCAATCCTCCTCATAGAGTTTCCTGCCCAAAGGGTCATGTGATACAGGAGGGGGAGCCCTCTCCCCTCAGTTCTCCCTTCGCTTCCACAAGGTAGATATTACCAGGGCTATTTTTGGGCAGGAACGCACAGGAACGGAGTTCCAGCTGGCTCCTGAGTTGGCCACACCCAGCAGAAACTTATTAGCATAATAGGCCACACCCAACAGCACAAACTCATTAGGATTGGCTACATTAGGGGTGTGTGGCCTAACATGCAAAGGAGTTCCTGCTAGAAAAAAAGCCCTGGGTTTTGACAACAAAGTAAACAGAATAAGAAGCAAAAGGTGGGTGTGACTGGATGACCACACTTCTTGTAACATGGGTATGTGTGGCCTAATATGCCAATGAGCTGTGCTATCAGGGGTGTGGCCTGATATGCTAATGAGTTTCTGCTGTTAGGTGTGGCCTATTATGCTAATGAGTTCCTGCTGGGCTTTTTCTACAAAAAAGGCCCTGGATATTACACATAGAAGCCCACAGTGGGGAAAGAAGGGAGGGATGTGTGCCTGCACAGAAGACCACTTGATAAACAATGGTTACAGGTAAGTGCAACCCCGTTTTTATCTTTGTGACTTCTGTGCAGTCACACATGGGAAAATGCCAAGTTTGCTCACCGAGGAGGGTGTGGGCTGCGTTAGTGAAAGACTGACTGTAACATCACTCTCCTCGCAGGTGCCTCGCGCTTGACATTGACGTCCATTTCACAACGTCTGATAAAATTTGACAACGTTGACCAGGTGGCCATTTTGCAGACATCTTGGAGAGGCAGTCTTGCTGGAAAAGCTGCAAAAGAGGCTTGAGCCCTCGTGGAGTGCGCCGACCCACTGATTGGACAGTTCCTACCTGCCTCAGTGTACACTGTTCTTATCGTGGAAACTACCTGTCTAGACAAAGTCTGTGCAGAAGCAGCCTTCCCTTTATTGCGGCCTCTGAAGCAGATGAATAAATTCCTGTCCTTCCTAAATTCCTCTGTCCTCTTTAAATAAAAGAGCTCTTCTAACATCTAACGAGTATAGAGTTCTTTCTGCAATATCAGTTGGGGAAGGGAAGAAAATCGAAAGGGTAATGTTCTGGGCCATATGGAATCTGGAAACAACCTTAGGGAGGAATTTTAGCCCTTGCCGTAGAACAACTTTTTCAGTGTGGAATTTCACAAAACAGTGCGCTGAGTTCTCCCACCCTGCAGGGCGAGGTAATAGCTACCCAAAATGCTGTCTTTTTTTGGTTTTGGTTTTTGTATTTTTGCTCGTGTGTGTGCGCACGCGTGCACCCGTGCCTGGAAGTCTTGGCGACCCATGGTGGCTCCTACTGGGGCATAGAAGACATTCAAAGAAGGGGCTTGATAGCCTGCCTCTGGCCTCTCGGCCCTGGTATTATCTGGAGGTTTCCCATCCAAATACTTGCAAGGGTTGGCCCTGCTTAGCTTCCAAGATCTGACAATATCAGGCTTGCCTGGGTTATCCAGGTCAGGGCCCCAAAAGGCTGTCTTGTATGAGAGGAAAGACAGCACAGAGTTTGCCATTGGTTCAAATGGTTTATAAAGTAACCTAGACAGAACTGAGACAAGCTCCATTGAGGAACAGGGTGAACAACAGGTGGAAAATTCCATAAACCTTCTAGTTAATATCTGGAATCTGCATTCGAAAACACTGAGTAACCATTGACCATATTATGAAATGCTGAGATAGCAGCTGCTAAGTGTACTTTTATTGATGATGAAGAAGAAGAAGAAGAAGAGATTGGATTTATACCCCGCCCTTCACTACCCAAAGGAGTCTCAGAGCGGCTTACAAACTCCTTTCCCTTCCCCTCCCCACAACAGACACCCTGTGAGGTGGGTGGGGCTGAGAGAACTCTGACACAAACTGCTCTTTTTCAAGGACAGCTGTGCCAGAGCTTGTGACTGACCCAAGGTCACATCAGCAGGTGCAAGTGGAGGAGTGGGGAATCAAACCCGGTTCTCCCAGATTAGAGTCCACACACTTAACCACTACACCAAACTGGCTGAAATCGCAAGGCCTCCATCCTTAAGAGCAGGGCTATTTTTGGTCAGGAACGCACAGGAACAGAGTTCCGGCTGGCTTCAGAGTTGGCCATGCCCACTATAGCCAAAACCTCTGTGTGTGTGGCTACACTCCAAGGCGGGTGGGCCACGGGGGGGGGGCTGGAAGGATGGAGGAGCCTTCCCCAGCCTGTCCAAGGGCCAGCTTGCCTGGGCGCCTCGCAGCTGTGGGAGCCGGGCAAGCCAAGGGAAGGTATGGTGGTGGGGCCTAATATGCTAATGAGCTGCACTGTCGGGATGTGGGCTATTATGCTAATGAGTTCCTGCTCGGCTTTTTCTACAAAAAAAGCCCTGCTTAAGAGTAAGGAAGTATTCAAAGATTCTGTTCATGTCGCACTTTACCAGGTTAATACCTTGGTCATGTGACCATGCACAGATCTTATAAGCATATGACTTATGCGTGGAAGGTCTACGAGAAGCAATCATTATGCCTGTAACTCTTTGAATTAAACTTGTCATGGGTTGATCAGCCAGGCTGTTAGATGGAGGGATGTGAGTCCAGGGTGGTGAATGGATTCCACCTGCAACAGGTCTCATACCTGAGGGAGTGCCCTGCAATTTCCCTTCTCTAAATTCCATAGCAAGGGGAACCACACCCGTCTTGGCCAATATGGTGTTAGGAGTATGCATAATGTTTTTTCCGCATGCAATTTGTCTACGACCTAAGTGCAGGAGGCCAAATGGTGGGAACGCATAAAATAGGTGCCCATGCCATCAGAACTGGAAGGCATCCCCTACTGAATTGGAATCTGCTGCTGCCCTGGAGCAGAAGCAGGCACATTTTGTGTTGGCTGACAATGCAAACTAACTTGGGTCTACCTCAGGGAATCCCCTTTCCAAAAAATCGGAGATATTCCTTCTTGATTGACCATTCTTGGGTCACTAACACAACCCTGCTCAGCAGGTCTACTAAAACATTTTGCTGCCCTGCTATGCATACAGATGGGGTTTGTGCCTTATGGCCCAATGCCAATTTTTTTGACGCCTCTGTGCATAAACCGATGGATCCTGTGCCCCCTTGTTTGTTTAAGTAAAACTTTGTGGTTGTGCTGTCTTTGGCTGGAAGCACTCAACAACCTTGAACTAAATCTGAAAAAGAAGAGCATCTCTTATAGCTCTCAGCTCTAATATGCCGTTTTGGCTTGCAGTCAGACCAGTGGCCTCTAGCTGTGCAGTTTTCACAATGTGGACCACAACCCATGAGGGAAGCATTGGTAAAGATCTGCGAGTCATGTGACTCTGATCCCAAGACAATACCCTTAAGTATGTGGGAAGTTCTCGGCCACCAGTGCAGGGATTGGAGAACTGACCTTGGGATTGAGAACCTCTTCCATTGTGGGTCTGAGGTAGGGTGGAATTGTCGCAGGAACGTATTTTGCAAAGGGCTCATAAAGAGCCTGGTATGTGGTGTGACAGCTGTACATAAGAACCTAAGAGAAGCCAATGTTGGATCAGGCCAATGGCCCATCTAGTCCAACACTCTGTGTCACACAGTGGCCAAAAATACCAGGTGCCATCAGGAGGTCCACCAGTGGGGCCAGGTGTAGAAGCCATGTATCCCAATAATTTTTAAATGGTCTTAGCAGTCTGAAATCTGCGTGCTAAAAATCTCTGTGCCAGTGCTTTGTTTTTACTTGCTCTTGGTAGTGGAAGGAATGCTTTCCCTTTCCTACATTCGAATTAATGGTAGAACTTATGAACTCTATCGTTTGGGTGGGAAAAAAATGAGATTTTTGCTTATTGATAATGAACCCAAGGTTATTAAGGGTCCTAAGCACAAGTGATAAATTGTCATTCACAGTATCAGGGGAGTTGGCCATGAAGACCCAATCATCTAGGTATGGGTATATGATACAGCCTTTGAGCCTGAGGTAGGAGATGACTACTGAGGTACACTTGGTAAAGACCCGTGGTGCTGATGCCAAACCAAAGGGTTAAACATTATACTCATATACTGTGTCACTGTAGAGAAATCACAAATATTTCCTACAGGACTTATGTATGGTTATGTGGAAGTAAGATCACAAAACAGTCCCTGAGGCAATAAAGGTATAATCTCCTGTAAGGATAACATCCTAAATTT